TGAAGAAAAAATATGTGCCCGGTAGGAAAGCCCTCAAACCACGCATCATCGCACCCGCACATTAAAAAAGAAATAATTATAATAAAATTGCCGCAGGGCGAGTTCGCCAATGTCAGGATCTCTCCCTTTGTGACTTTCTAAGGAGGGCGAAGGTATTCTCTGGCCTTTGAGTGGTCCGTGTTTTGTTGCTGCTGTCATCTTAGATAGTTTAACCAATTACCATCTTGTGGGAACAAAGCTGTAGAATAAAGGTTTACCAAGCATGGGATCGCATTGAGGTGTGAAGACTGATTCTGCGGAAAAAAGACGTTTTGTACTATGCGTCTCGAGAATAGCCGTTCAGTAGCCTAACGATTAGCCATACGATTTGAATGGCATAATGCTTTGCGACTCGTTTGTAACGTGACGGTATGCAAAATAAAATATTTCTGTGAACATATTTCGAATGCGATGTACCCTATACAAAAGGGTTAAAATGATCCATGCGGGGGTGGGCGCAGGATCGTTGGCCGCTGCCTGCTGCTGGTGCTCTTCACGTGCTCTTGAGTGGTGGCGGCGGCGCTTTGTGAGCGACAAGGTGCACAATAGGGCGAGAGACCTGCCGCGGCTGTTGCTTTGTGATGCTGCCGGTGCGGGCGGTAAGTGATCGCCAGTTAGCCTTGGTGTGGAACATGACATTAAGCGTTCGCATCGGTGCACACTGGCACAGGTAGTCCACGAAATTGGATCGACGAACATGTTAGAATTGTAATAATATGTGCAATGGCAACTCTGGCGGGATTTTTGTTTGTTTGCGTGCTTGTTTTGTTTTAGATCTGGTTATTTTTTTTATCAAATAACAATTGCTATGGAGTAGCCGGCACTGTTATTACCAGTGCCAACATCTCCATCATTTTTATTCATTTCTTTTTAACACAGAAAAAGAGAGACTGGTTGGAATTTCAAGAGCACTCTAAAAAGGTTGAAACGCCACGTACGTGTTTTGAGACGGAGTTTAATTAAACAATAAATATTTAAGTGAGAGCGGGCTCAACCGAGAAGGGCATAAATAGGATAAGGTTAAAGCGCAAAGAGCGTTAGGCGATTGGTTTGAAATACGGTGTTCAGATGAGAACGTGTTCAAATGAGAAAGGGCGGAAACGCGAAAGGTTAAAACGCGAAGGGCGTTTTGGGTATGGGTTCAAACGAGAAGGGTTCAAATGAGAACGGGTTCAAATGAGACGGGTAGAAATGAGAAAGGGTTGAAACGCGAAAGGTTAAAACACGAAGGGCGTTTTGCGAATGGGTTCAAACGAGAAGGGTTCAAATCAGAATGGGTTGTTTCGAGATACACCCCGCATTTACAAACATATATTAAAAAGCAAACAGCCCGGCACTTTCGGGCAGTTGCACACTTAATTTTTTTTTTCATTTTCACATGACTTTCCAAAATATTTGCCCATTCAGGCAAGGACTGGTTGTACTCATACACACTCTTAATTTGGGCAATCAACTCAATGAAAAACAGGTGTGCGAATTTTGGGGGCTGTTCAGCATGTCTGACGGACATACGGGACTTCCACAGACTAAAAAGTGCAATAACCATAATCATGTCGTACGGAACACAACCCTGCGACTCGACAGGAAGGAAGCGTATTAAATACGACGTTATACACAAATCTTTTTTTAAAGTTCGTTTCAACACATCTCAAAAGAAAATGGCATCCCATCAGTACAGAAAAGAGTGTTCAATCGTTTCTGGTTCTTTACAAAGAGGGCGGTTTACACCACTTGAAACTATGACACCCCTTTCTCTAAGTCAGAGTTTCACTGTCAGAGTACCCGTGTGCAAGTGAAAAAAAGACTTTGCTGCTGGAGGTATTGCCATTTTCCTCACACGGGTCATAACATCCTGGCCTGGCCCATTGCCATACATCACACGATACACTGGTACTGGAAATACGCTATCAATCAAATCACGGTACAGTTTTCTTCGACTAACCGAAGTCAGATAACCAAGAAAGAACCTGGTACTCACAAATCTAAAAGCTTCAGCAACCTCTTTTACAAACCCAACCGTTCGTGCAGGGGGACCGATGGACGAGCTCACAAGGAAGGTTGCAATATGGCTCGTGAGCCTTGTCTGAAACATTACCTGCAATAGCGGATGTTTTGGATCTCGTAGATACAAAAAAGCGAGAAACCACTTGTCGGATGAACAAGTGTAGCAACCCGAGTCCCCCTTGGAAGGCCTTAAAAACAGATTGTCTGTCGCATGGGTTCATTTGCACATTTCTATATGAACAGAGCAAAAACTCTATGCAGCTTTTGGATGCTACTTCGAGCGCAGTGCAGCACCTGTAGCCCATACCACACCCTAGCAGTCAGAAATATATTACAGACTGTAGCTCTGGTGAAAATAGACATATCGCAACCTTCCCATTTGGTCGTTCGTTCTTTTATCATCCGTGACGTGCTCCATATATTTCGTGCCCTTCTTTAGGTGCTCTAATGGTGCCCCAAGGTACTTCTTTGGTGCGCAACTCCACTGAATACCCTCAAAAAAACTCCGGCGTTGTTGCCCACTCGCCTTGCCAGACGCCAAGACACTTGTGCATATTACTCTTTGCACCTGTCGCATCACAAAAAAATCTACACAATTCTAGCACCTTACTAACACTGTTTTTGTCCCTACAAAAACGGCAATATCGTCAGCATACGCTAAAACTTTCACTTCCATGCTCTCCATTCTAAACCCCCTTACATGCTCGCTTTTTATGACACTTAAACAAAAAGGCTCAAGGCAGAGACTAAACAAGGGTGACAGAGGGCATCCCTGTCGCACGAAAGAGCATACATTTATCTTTTTAGACAACGATTTATAACGAGCCGCGTGGTACATCCCGCGTATGCCATTTTAACCCCTTCGCAGATAATTTTCCCAACATTAGCTTTAGTCAAAATCTCACGCAGAAATCCATGGCTTACTCTGTCAAACGCCTTTTCCAAGTCAATTTGTATCATTGCGACCTGACTACCTCCATCATTTGCGCTTTCGAGAATGGTTCGTGCTACATGAATGTTGGCCTGAATCGCCCTACCTTTGATTCCAATGTCTGGTGGTCCCCTACCAAATCGCAGACTACATGCTAGATTCGTCGCGATAAAATTCTTGCAAATATCTTAAAATCAACGTTACTTAATGATATGGGTCGGTAACCCGTCACTTCTGCCTTTGAAGAACGTCATTAGATTTAGGTATCAATACTGTATGCGATTTTAAGAAGGATGGTGGTAGTGCCTTGAGCTCGTAAGCTTCACGTATAACTTTCTTAATAAAATGGGCAAATTTGGGCGCGGAAGTGCTTATAAAACTCTGCACAGGGACCGTCACGACCAGGCGTTTTGTGGGTGGCGAGGCCTTCGATGGCTCTTTCTATCTCCGTCAACGTGATGGGTTCTCCCATCCACTATTTCACACTTTGCGATAGCTCTGGTGTTATCTGTAGTAGTTCTTTGATGGCTGTCATGTCCTTAGGCATATCTTTGGCTCCGAACAGCTGGCTGTAGTACGTCATAAACGCCCTTTCAATGCCATCTCTGTCATTTATGACAGCGCCGTCTTGTTCCACGGCAGAAATCTCTTTTGCAAGTGCAAACTTTAGTTCATCAGCCAGCGCACGTTTCGTGGGCTGTTCCCCAAGGAGAAACTTCTCGGTCCTTGCCCGCACTACCGCTCCACGATGCTTTTTATCCTGGAAAGCTTGAAATTTGGCTTTCACTTGTTTTATCTCAGAAGCCGTCCCCCCTGGCTTATCACTCTCGACCATGAGGAGTTCTAGCCAGCGATGCTGAACCATTATTTCTTCCTTTGCTGCATTGTAGTTCAAAATAGACGACCGTTCTATGGCTATTTCTTTAACTTCCTGTATAAAAAACTCCTATTTCTCCATATAACATATACTACAATCCTCAGTCACTTTCTTCAGAATGTTTTTACCATCATCTGTAAACACTTCGTCTTTTAACCGCGTTACATTAAATTTCCATAGTTTCCAGTTAAACATTTGTGTCGCCTTTCCCCTTTCCCCGACAATCACAGTTACGAGGTAGTGATCGCTGAAAAAGGTCGGTTTGACAGAGTATTCCATGGTGCATGTGCTAACTTCTGTAGAAACATAAATCCTGCCTAACCGAGCGTGTGATGATAGCTGAAAGTGAGTAAATCGCAAATCGCTCAGTAAACCTTGCATTTCCGCGACGTCCTCCAGCTCACATTTATCTAACATGGATTTCAAAAATTGAGCGCTTCTGTCGTTTCGTGAAGTTGCTGAAGACCTATCTTCTGGGTTACACACGCAGTTAAAGTCTCCTAGTAACACAATATACCTATCACACTTAGTTATCTTCCAATTGGCGAAAGAAAGCTTCCCTCTTGTTATTTGCGTTAGGAGCATAAATGCACAGCACACGCAACAGATAATTTTGAACCCTAAAATCACAAATAACAAGTCTTCCTTCGCCATCTGCCGTGGTTTTTAAATTGGTCAGGCCAATTGATTTCGCGAGAAACAAAAAACACACTGCCGACACTCCACTGGCTTGACTGACACATATTTCATACCTGCTCAAAAAAGGTTTTAAGGCATATTGAATCTGTTCACTATCATAAATTTTAGTTTCCGGAAGGGCTAGAATGTCTATAGTTTCGTCACTGAGTAATCGTTGGAGTTGATACTGATTTTTTTTTTTTTCAGGAATTTAACCCCCTGACATTTAAGGTGGCACATCGAATAGGCGTGACAGGTTCGAGCGTGATGTTGCATTAAAGGGAGAATGTTCTCAAACTCACCCAAGATTACCTTTTACCGCTGCCTATAACCCCGAAAAGGCTCGGTGAATGCCACAAACTACGAGCCTTTACATTTGCAGTCGTCCGGAAGGTCTCGAGGCTTGGTCACGATTCACGACACGGCTTTTTTTTGGGGTCCCTGCACTTGCCAAGGTGGTTCGCCACCAACCGTGTCATCGGGTGAGGCCTCGTGTAGTGTCTGGCCCCGTTGTCGCTTCCCGGTCTGGTTGACGTCGATGTTCATGGGTTCTGCCACTTCAGTCTCACTGTCTAGGGTATCCTTATCTTTCACAGTGTTCATCCCGACCTTCTCACCCGCGTGCAGTCGTTTGGGGGACAAATGAGCCTCTTGTTCCTTGTTACCGGTCGCCTGTTTTGCTTTCTCTGGCTGACTGGGCTGAGAACTCTCCCCAATGTTGTCCTGGTTCCCAATGGAGGCGTCACCGCCGCCTTGATTGGCGCTTTGGGAGCAGCGGAGGCCCGGCACCTACCGTCGCAGCCTCTGCCTCTACTTTGTCCATCAGAGATTCGGTCGACCCTTCGTCTTTCCGCTGTTGAGCGATTGACGCGTAAGTACGGACGCAATCGCTGGCTTCGAGGCCGAGCTGGTGGCACTCCTTACAACGGGGAAGGCGGCAGTCCCTTCTGATGTGTCCTTTGCGTCGACACCTAAGGCACAGGGGGGCCCTGCCAAATATGAGGACGAGGGCCTTGCAGCCATCGACACGAATGTCATAAGAAACGCCGTCCGCGGTAACTCCCTTTTTGAGCGTCATTCGCACACTTTGCGTATTCGTTTCGACGTTCTCGAACCACTTTTCGCGGAAGTGGTCTCCGCTGATGTCGGACGCTTTAGCAAAGCGCTCGAGTTCTTCACGTACTTGGCAGTTGGGGACGTCGCAGGGAACACAATACAGTTTAGCCTTGACTTCCGCGTTGGCAGGATCAAGCACGAGGCAACGCCCCCCTTTGATTTGCAGTTCTTTTGCTTCCACCAAACGCTGCATTGCGGCGAGTGAGTGTAGACGTAGCATCCGAACGTGATTCATTTGGTGGCCGCCTGCCGACGCCAATTCTTGAAGGACATCCAGTCGCTCCAGCTCCTGTTTGAAGTCTTGAATTCGGTATGGGCGGTTGCGTACGTCGCAGTGCAGAAAACCTGCATTAGTCACGATGTATTCGGTAGACAGAGGAGGCAAAATAATCTTGTAATCAGTCGGATCTTCAGAAACAGATACACCGCGGCCCGTATCGGCCGTTGCTGCCGCTCCAACGGAGCTCGTCATCCTGCGTCCGTCTCGGGCGAGCGCTGGAAGCAGAATCCCTCGGCCACAGTCACACTGCCTTCGCCAGCTGCGCACACGGCATTACTCCCCCCTTTAGAAAGTGCATCGCCCCGATGCAACACAAAACAAAATATAGCAAATAAAAAGAACGGTAAACTATGAGTTATTTTTAACACCTTTAGTCCACATTCTTATCGAGAGTCGAACGACATGAACCACCTAGGGTAGCGGTCGGCGTCGCGATGATGCATACGTTATGTCATGCACCACTTCGTAGTTGCGATCTCCAAGGCGTCGAAGGACCTTTTAGGGCTCAAAGTAGCGTTTTAAAAGCTTCTCGCTGACGCAACGACGTCGTATCGGTGTTCACACCCACACTCGCTGTAGCGGCCAGCGTCGACATGTTGCTGGTCTTGGATCCGAACTCGGGCGAGCTGGCGGACTCCTGCTCGTTGCGCAAACACCTGGGCGTCGTCACTTCCGTCGCCAGCTGGCTCGTGAGGTAGCATGGCGTCCAGCATCGTTTTCACCTAGCGACCATGCAACAGCTGGAATGGTCTAACAGCAGTGGACTCCTGAACCACTGTGTTGTAGGCGAACGTGACATACGGCAGGACCTCTTCCGTCTTGTGTTCCACGTCGCCGTACATCTGCACCATGTCGGCGATGGTCTTGATGAGCTGCTCGGTCAGTCTGTTGGTCTGCGGATGGTATGCCGTAGTCCGACGGTGTTCGGTGTGGCTTAGGCAAAGTACTTCCTTGGACAGCTGCGCCATAAACGATGACCCCGATCTGTAATGAAGACTTGAGGAGCGCCATGTCGTAGGACGATGGACTCGACAAAAAACTTGGCGACTTCCACAGCAGTCCCTGTTGGAAGGGTTTTTGCCTCGGCGTATCGGTGGCCACGGTTATCTAACGGTTCCCCAGGGTCGACTGCGGAAAAGGGCCAAGTAGATCTATTCCGACCTGCTAGAACAGTGCAGTTGGCGGAAGAAATGGCTGCAGGAGATCTACCGGCTTCGTCGGTGGTTTCTTTCGTCGCTGGCACTCGTGGCATGACCGTGTGTAGAGATTAACAGTATTCGGAAGCTTGGGCCAGTAGTATTTTTCACGAATTCTGGCAAAGGTCCTGCTGTACCCAAAGTGCCCAGCCGTCGGGTCTTCATGGCATCCTTGGAAGACTTCTTCTCAAAGGCTGGAAGGGAAAACCAAAAGCCACCCTGTGTTGTCGTCGCCGAAGTTCTCCTTGTCAAAGGGCGAAGGCAGGGAGGATTCGTAAGAAAGCGCAGGAAACCGTACTCCTTTGTACGGTTTCCCGTGCCGCTCTAGGTGCTCGATGAGTGCGCGCAGTTCAGGGTCGGCTCATCGGAGTGCTGCCATGTCGCTGGCATTCATAGCGCCGAGAAAACACTCGTCGTCGTTGTATTCCGTGCAGGCAGAACCGGCCTCGACGGGGGCCCTTGACGGGAAATCGGAGTCATTCTGCTTACGGCCGGACTTGTACACCACGGTCATATCAAACTCCTGCAGTCGTAGGCTCCATCGGGCGAGGCGTCCGGAGGGATCTTTTAGATTCGCAAGCCAACAGAACGAGTGGTGGTATGTGACCACGCGGAAAGGACTTCCATACAAATACGGGCGGAACTTTGTTATTGCCCAGACGACAGCAAGGCACTCTTTTTCATTCGTTGAGTAGTTCCTCTCTGCACGAGACAGCGTCCGACTTGCGCAGGCGATGACTCGCTCTGCGCCCTCCTGTTTTTGGATTAGGACCGTGCCAAGTCCGGTGTTACTGGCGTCCATGTGGATCTCTCTTTCAGTGAAGTGGTCGAAATGGCAAGGAATCGGGGGCGTCTGGAGTTTTCGTTTGAGCTCGTCAAATGACCTCTGCTGTTCGTCTGTCCACTCGAACTTTACGGCGTCCTTCGTGAGGTGTGTCAGCGGTGCGGATAGTTCGGCGAAGTCTCGAACAAAGCGCCTGTAGTAGGCACAGAGTCCGAGAAATCTTCTCCTTGCCTTCTTGTCAGACGGCGGCGCAAATGCAGCTATGGCGCGGGTCTTCTCGGGGTCAGGTAGAACACCTTTGTTGTTTACGACGTGGCCGAGGAACTTTAGTTCCCCATAGGCGAACCGACACTTTGTTGGCTTGAGTGACAGCCGGTGGTTTTGATGGCTTGAAGCACGGCTCGAAGTCGTCTGAGGTGTTCGTCGAAATCTCGCGAGAATACCACGACATCGTCCAGGTAGACGAGGCAGCTCTGCCATTTCAGACCTGCCAGCACGGTGTCCATGACGCGCTGGAAGGTGGCTGGTGCTGTACAAAGTCCGAACGGCATCACTCTGAATTCGTACAGTCCGTCGGGAGTGACGAAGGCAGTTTTCTCCCGGTCATGTTCATCGACTTCAATCTGCCAGTAACCACGCGTCAGGTCCATCGACGAAAAATATCGGGAGTGGCGCAGTCGGTCTAACGTATCGTCGCTACTCCCGACTGGTGTGATGAAGGTGCCCTCCGGCGGTTCGTATTCGAGGGTCATCCCACGGCGTTGTCACTTTCCGAAGATGGCGTGAAAGCCTTCCACTCAAGACGGAGTACTGTCGAGACCGGTTATAACGAAGTCAACGGGCATTGGAAATCGCTTCGCTATATCCGCTCATTCGTTATATCTGGACTCGTACAAGTAACATGAAAAAAAAAAATGAAAAAAGATAACACGGGCTTTTACAAGCATATGTTTATTGAGCCTGCAGAAAGCGGCCGAGGCTTCCCTGCAGGCGTCCTCTGCTAGATCGGAGCCGCTTCTCGGCAACTGCGAGAAGCTCCGATCGAAAAAATATTTTGCGAGCTACGTACGGACCGCGTCGACAGCTGCGACGGCCGCTGCGGAAGACGTCGGCGATGGATGGCATTCTTTAAGTTTATGCGCACTCTGTCGAGGATGGCACGCTTTTGTTTCGAGGAGATTTCCTCCGTCTTCCCCGTCGAAGTGCCGGCGGTGCCGGGACTCTCCATCATTGAGTGGTGGTGATCTGCTGAACCGGCGCTTGAGTGAAGTAGATTTCAGCGCAATAGTGACTTCACCGACCAGAGACACCAACACGGAGCATGAAGCAAACAAAGAAGCGGGCAGGGCACCGAGCCCGCACTCAAAGATGTTGTCAGTAAAGAGAGCCTAGATTTAAGAGAGGGGCAACTGCACGATCGAGGTCACGTGGTTTGTAGGCCGCGTTTGCAAAACGAGCTGCAGCATGCCAGGAGTCAAAACTCAAAAGCATTCACCTTCTGCAAATGTGTCGCCTCTCCGTCCAGTTTCCTCGCCACACCGGCCACGCGAAAGTACTTGTGCCAATCTGCCTAAAAGTCGCCTGCCATTTAATTGCAAATGCTCTTTATGGTTCCCTCTCTTAAATCTAGGCTCTTTCCGTCATATCCGCTGGTATGTTGTCGCTAGTGCTCCGAAAGCCCCTATCGGCATGCCACGACGGCTTCTCCGCGTGCGACATTGCAGAGGCTGCCGCCGGCTGCCTTTCCAGCATCATCTGGAGCCCATTCTGGATGGCTGCTCGGCCGCGGCAGCAAAGTGCGGCGGTCCGAGAGTTGGTAAACTTTCCGATTTTTATTATTTCTTAAATTATCAAAAAATTTGTATTCGGTATATCCGCGGAAAGTGCTCAATTTCCTTCGCTAAAAACAGACACAAATGCATTGAAAAAGTGCAAACGGGAATGGAAATTGTGATCGCTTCGCTTTAACCGCTATTTGGTTATAACCGACTGCGTTATAACAGGTCTCGACAGTAGTCAGCACTGGTGTCCACGAGTGCCGACGCGTCGTGGCCGTCGAAGGTCGCGTTGGGGCTGTTGGGTACCGTACAGAAGTGTCACTCCGGTGCACGGCGTCGGTCGAGTAGGAGCTCTCCGGCGTTTTGGGGGGCTCGTCGTCAGTCTACGGCAACTCTATTTCCAGAGGTTGCCGCGCTTAGTTTTCCCGGCGCGACAAGGGCGACAGGCT